CAGCTTCAGCTCAGGAAGAACTTTGGACTCAAAGTGTGCTGACCTTTCAAAATAGAAGCAATCGTGTGAGTGTGGGTTAATAGAGCAAAGATCTGTTTACTTAGGGGTGGGCAATTATTTTTTCCATGGGGCCACATGAGAAACAGAAAATATTGTGGAGGGCCAGGCCAAAAGGCTGAAGTCAATTATGCATAATATTAATGGTATTTCTTTATAAAAAGCAATAAATACCATTGTTTTTTCAAGCTGGTAAGAGTAGACTATATGTTATATGAGCAAAAAGGAAAAAGTGAGGTTGGCTTACAAAAATGTGATTTATTCAAATTTCCCAAGGCAATGGTAAACAAAGTGTGCACATTTGGTTTTTGTTAAACATTTATGACTTATATTAGTTAACAGTTTCAGTCACATTCACTCCAAAACACATTCTGAGTTTCAAATATTGTTGGAAAGAGGTTCCTAGCATTCTACAGACACACAGTATTGTCTGTAAAATAAAAGCACTGAACTGTGATCTTGAGAAAGAGGTTTAAAAAAAAGTGTCCCAGTTCACTGCTAGTTGCCTACATTTGTGGTCCAAACACCTTATTTTGTGTTTTTAAGCAATTTTTTTCTTATTCAGTGAGAGAAATCTAGTCTCTGCTGGGCTTTAATGAGTGCATCAAAGTCAGGTTGATTGTCTGAGGTGGAGATGCGAAGCACAGCTGACAAATGATCATCAGTGAGAGAGGATCTTTACCTGGATTTTGTAAACTTCATCAATGAAAATGTTTGTTCACAAATTTAGGTAGAGCCGAAGAGAACCAACATCTTCTGAGCATGTCTCCTCAGGTTTGGAAAGTTCTCCTCTTTAACAGAAGAGTAGAAATCCAGCAGAGATCCTGACTTAAAGTGCTCTGCCAGTACTGCATCAGACTGCAGGTCAGCGAGTTCCAGCTGCACATCACTGGGTGCATTATCCACACTGCAGGTAAAGGGAGAGGAAATCATGTGCATTTCATCCTCGATTGTTCTGAGATCTTCAAAACGCCTTGAAAACTCACCATGTAATGCTCCTAACATGGATGAGTACCTGCTGAGGTGATCAGCTGATGGTGTGACTTCGTGCAGGGTTTGCATGTGAGTGTGGGTGTTGCTCTCCAGTTGACTTGAAAGAAATGGCAGCCTTCTCATGAAGGCCTTCACGAGGCTGTGCATTTCATGAACAAGAAGGCCCTTGCCTTGCAGTTTGGTGTTCAGTTCATTCATCAGTGCAGTCACATCAACAGCAAATGCAAAATCTGCCATCCAATCCTCATCTGAGAGCTCTGGAATGTCTTTGCCTTTCCTCTCGCCAAACTCTCGAATCTCTGCTTTCAAGTCCCAAACCCTCTTCAGCACTTTCCCCAGGCTGAGCCATCTGACAGCTGTGTGGAGTCCTCCAAAAGAGCCACAAACTGTCTGTGATTCATTGCCCGTGCCCTGATGAAGTTTATTATTTTAGTAACAACATCAGTAACATGGTTGATTTTTAGCACTGACTTGCACAACACATGTTGGTTTATAACCCCCAAATTCCACTACCTCCGCTCCGCTCCGGTCCGCCCCAGCCTTCCGCAGCCGCTCGCTTCCGAACTCAATTTTTACTGCTACCCGCTCTACAACGGCTCCGCTCCGGTGCTGAGACCTGAGGTGGGCAAATAAGCATGCGCGGGATTTTCGAGATCTTGCGATACAGTCCGAGCAATAAACGCGGAAGTTAGATCCAAACACCGGTTGTGTGGGAGAAGCATCGAAACAAACTGTTTAATCTGCCCATCATTTGTGTAGAGAGATCAGCAGTGTTTGGATCAACAAAGTGTGACTACTTTGATAGTAGAAACTGTATTTATGGCTTACTTTTGTGCATTTAAACTTCAGCTGCCATTGATAGTTGTTAAAAGTTGTTAAACCTGTGCATATGAAACAAAAAACGCCTTTTGTTTATCGATTTATTGTGAAAAACGGAAGTTGTGCTTGCTCCTTTTCCTGTTGGGTGGTTGTGATTTCTGTCCATTTACTGCGGAGGTGCTCCGGCGTCCGGCAAAAATAGAATCAATCCTATTTTTGCCGGACGCCGGAACAGTGGGCGGCGCACTGCCGGAGCACGGCCGCAGTAGTGGAATTGCTCTGATTGACTACAACGGGACCGATTTTGCTCCGGCGTTCGTGTCGGAGCGGAGCGGAGGTAGTGGAATTTGAGGGTCATACAATGCAAAAACACCAATTTTTGATCTGCATCGATTTCTGTCACTTTATCTTGCATGCGTTTCAAAAGTCCGACATTTTTCCCTGTAAGATTTGGACAACTGTCTGTTGTGACACCTGACAGTCTCTCCCATTTCAATCCCAGAGTGTCCATGCACGCATTTACCTCTGTAAAAAGATCACTCCCTGTCGTTGTCGTAGTGGGATTTGCTCAAATGCGCCTTAATTCAGGGCATATTAGTGCTGCGGAGTCCACCATGCACTCTTTGACAAACTCTCCCTCCGAAAACGGCTTGCTGTTTTTAGCTATTTTGTGGGCTATCACAAAGCTGGTCCTGGTTGCTGCATCCCTGGATGTGTGAAGCTATATAAATAAACTTTACTTACTTACTTACTTACTAGTAAAAAAGCATTGCTGCTTTTGCAACTTTGCTAGCAAAGCTTCGGATGTCCATGCCCTCTCAGCATCAGACAAGGTCTTTATTTTTCTGAGTGTTTCTTGTCGTAATGCCGACTCAGATTGTAGTCCTTAAACACAGCAATCTCCTCCCCGCAAACCAAACACACGGCTTTACCTCCGACTTCAGTAAAAAAAATACTTAGCAGTCCAATTTTTGTTGAAAATCCTGCATTCTGCATCTTTTTTTTTTTTTGCATGAGCGGACATTTCTGGGGGCTACAATCACCATGTCAACCGCGGGCACTTGTTGCTATACGTATTGCGTCATTGTGCACGTAAAAAACAACTTCAAAATAAAAGCAATGCAGCCTTAGTCCATGCATGAGGTAAAATGAGGAAATACATTTATTTTGTAATTTCCAATTAACCTTACGCGGGCCGGTCAAAGTCAACCAAAAGGCCGTATGTGGCCCGCGGGCCGTAAAATGCCCAGGTTTGGTTTACTTTATGCAAGGGCTATGAACTTTGAGGGGTGTAGAAGCTGGTCCAACAAATCAAACTGTGTGAGTGAATACAGAAATAACATTTCAAAATATTGAAGTAGTAATAAAGATTGGTTGCTATATACTTTTCACAATTTTTTTTAGGTTTTCCAATCCAACGAACTGTAATAATTAGATTTTGCACCATCTTTGTTGTTAGCTTTTATCAGCAATTAAATTGTCATCAGATAGATTTCAACTTCACAGTTAAGGCTTTTCCAATTACGTATTCAAAAACAAACATTAAGTGTTCAGGCACCTGTTTGCTTTGGAAATGTGAAGTAGTGACAAAAGTAATCCACATTTAATAGGAAGGGTTCATTTAAGGATCTGTGCAGGTCCTAAAGTCCACTTTATTTACCCAACTTCTAAACATTTTTATCAAGCAGCACCCAAGCTCTTTCATTAACCCTCTCATTCTACAAACTGCTGACCTCTGTCATACTTAGACAATTTAGATCACTGGAATTAAGCAAAATGTGTTTATAGACATGTAAATAGTAAAAACATCAATCAATCAATCAATCAATCAATCAGCTTTTATTTATATAGTGCTTTCCATCATCCTCAAGGGGGACCCAAAGCACTGAACACAGCGCAAAAAAATAAAACATAGAAAAGAAAACACCAATAAGACTAAGGTCAAAAGGAAAAAATTGATAATAACAAACAAAAATAAAAAAAACTATTCAAATCAGTTCAAACCAGTCACCGAACCAATAAGGTGAAAGCCAGACGATAAAAATTAGTCTTCAGGCAACTCTTAAGAGCAGCCAAAGATGGAGACAGCTTAATCAATCAAGCATCAAATGGAGGAGATGTTTCCATCTTAACACACACGTCTTTAATGTTACTGGGGTCCTCTGGTCAGCTTGTTGGGACTAAATAGTAATGATTTAAGAACGAAAATTAAATCAAATTGAATGTGTCTTTAATATTATTTTAGAAATGAAAGTGATGGGAAAAAATGATCTTGACTGTGTTTTTTAACCCTGTCGGTTAAAATGAGTTTAACATCTGCAGTATATAAATGTTGGTCTAGCTTAAACTTCTTCTGCAGAGGTGTGGAGGCACACAGTGCCAGTGTTTGTCAATGCAAGGCTCTCTGACAAGCACACAAGGACAGATGGAATAGAGCTCTTCTTTCCTGCCCTCTTCCCATATTAGTGTTTTCCAGAAATGCCTGGTCTGATGTTCATCCACAGAGACACAACACACACCCACAGGCCTACAGAGACTCCAGAGACTCTGTCAAACCTCTCCCTCTCCCCCAGTTCGACCGACATCAGCCGGATAATCTCTTGCTCAGCACACACACACACACACACACACACACACACACACACACACACACACACACACACACACACACACACACACACACACACACACACACACACACACACACACACACACACACACACAGAATACAGAGTTATCAGCTTTAGCTCATTTCATATTCATGTCCTGACCAAATGTGAGAAAAACCAGTAGTTCTATTGTAGGGCGTTATTGTGGGGTTGTGTTTGGCCCTTTATCAGGGCTCTAGGGTCATTGTGAGCACAACAAAGTTTCATAAGCTTTATAGAGCTTCAAAGAGCAGTTTCCAGTTGTAGAAAAACTTTCACAATGACTTCCCTTAGTTCCCTAAAGTTGGAGGCAACTTTTTGTTTATCCAGTAGACATCTGTTATGTTAAAAGAGATAAGGAATCAGCTGTCCTCCGCTGTTTAGCTTTTGCAGCCAGTGGGAATGCTGCCAACATAGCCTTGTTTTTCACTCCAGCCGTCCCAAGAGTCCGTTTGTGTTACATAACATTTCCACTGCCTTCTTTTCTTCCCTACTTACTTCCCTACCTTTTATCCAGCTTGGTGCACACTTTGAGTCTAGACTAGATGGTTAAACTTTTATACTTAAAAGAGAACCTGAAGCTTTTTCATCATGATTTTTCAAACACTTTTTGATCAAATGGACTTCACTGGTTGGTTGTTGTTAGTGTTTTTGTTACTGCTTTTAATTGATGTGGTGAAAAACAGGAGACCTCCCAACTTCCCCCCAGGACCCTGGGCTGCACCCTTTCTAGGAAATATCTTCACTGGACTGGATTTCAAATCTCTGCAGAAGGTGAGGAAAACAAGAGTTTGTGCACGCATCAATGTGTTTTCATACAAGAGAACAACTTTTTAATATGCATGTTGAAATGTGTTTAGACAACAATCTGTTTAGGATGAACAGCAAAGAAAATTCAAAACATTTTCTGACAAACTATTAAAAGTTTTATTGTGATCTCCTCTCGTGAGTTAACTGTCGCAGATCGACACTTCCTTAATAAAAATGCTACTTTTTGTTGCCCCAATTGTAGCTCACACAGAAATATGGCTCCGTGTTCAGTGTGAGGAAAGGCAGCGAGAGGTTAGTTTTTATTTCGGGCTACAAAATGGTCAAAGAGGCTCTCGTCAACCAGCTGGACAGCTTTGTTGATCGACCAATAATTCCTCTTTTTCATGTCATCTTCAAGGGCCTTGGTGAGTATGTGAATATGAGAGAATAGTATCCAGAGTTGAACCAAACTCACAAAACTAAGGACAACAAATAAAGTGATATTTGCAGGGACATCTGTTGTCATGTCATTCTCACAGGTATTGGTCTGAGCAGTGGTTACTTGTGGAAGAAGCAGAGGAAGTTTGCAAGCACTCACCTACGTTACTTTGGAGAAGGACAGAAAAGTCTAGAGAAATATATTGAAGTGGAATGCAACTTTCTCTCTGAAGCCTTCAAAGAGGAACAAGGCAACTGTTACTAAAAATACTAAAGAGATTTCTTTCTCTCTTGTTTTTATGACTGCTGTTTAACTCATTATATTTCCAGGAAGACCGTTCAACCCTCACTACACTCTAACAAATGCAGTGAGTAACATTGTCTGCTCCGTTGTCTTTGGGCATCGGTTCGAGTACTCTGATCCAAGCTATCGTAGAATCCTGGAGCTGGATAACGAAGCTGTTGTGCTGGCCGGCTCACTCCGTACTCAGGTTGTTCCTTTTTAAACTATCATACTTTTATTAAATGCTAAAATGGTGTTTCCATTACTGACCTGAGAACGTGTCCTGTCAAACAGCTGTATGATGTGTTTCCTGGTCTGATGAAGCACCTACCAGGACCTCACCAGACCGTCCACGCCAACTACAGGCAGATTGTTGCCTTTTTGAGGAAGGAAATAGAGAAACACCAGGAGGAGTGGAACCCAGAGGACCCACGGGATTATATTGATGCCTACCTGGCAGAGATGGAGAAGGTAAGATGTTATTACACATTTGTGCTGTCTAGTTTACAAGGCATTCGAAAGAAAGAAAGAAAGAAAGAAAGAAAGAAAGAAAACAATCTTTTACATAGTGCCTCTCAAGATAAAAAGCACGAGCTGCTTCACAAAAACAAAAAAAATCTAATATAAAAATTATTTTAAAAAATTGTTAAAATGAGAAAAATATTGTGATTAAAATTTTTAAGGAAAGGGAGAGAGAAAATGAATAGGAAAAAGGGAAATCAGTAAATCCTGAGAAATGTGGAATTAGAAAGAGCAGAATAAGGAGAGGGTGGTGATGAAGGTTCTGCTCAGACACGTGAAAAGAGAGTTGCAGTAGTCTAAGCATGAGGAGATGAAGGTGTGGAGAACAGTCTCAAGTTCAGAGCGGGACAGAATGGAACATTGACATAGAATTACTTTTTCACATTTTCTTATTACAGCCTCATCTCAAAATCTGTGAAATTCGTGTTTTCTTCACAAATCTACATATAACACCATACACTCATTGGCCACTTTACTGTGTACATCTTGCTAGTATGGGCTGGACCCCCTTTTGCCTTCAGAACGGCCTTAATCCTTTGTGGCATAGATTCAACAAGGTACTGGAAACATTCTTTAGAGATTTTGGTCCATATTGACATGACAGCATCACACAGTTGCTGCAGATTTGTCGGCTGCACATTCATGATGCGAATCTCCTGTTCCACCACATCCCAAAGGTGCTTAATTGGATTGAGATCTGGAGACTGTGGAGGCCATCTGAGTACAGTGAACTCATTGTCATGTTCAAGACTGAGATGATTGGAGCTTTATGACATGGTGCATTACCCTGCTGGTAGTAGCCATCAGAAGATGGGTACCCGGTGGTCTTAAAGGGATGGACATGGTCAGCAACAATACTCAGGTAGGCTGTGGTGTTGCAGCGATGATCACGTAGTACTAAGGGGCCCAAAGTGTGCCAAGAAAATGTCCCCACACCATTACACTACCACCACCAGCCTGAACTGTTGATACAAGGCAGGATGGATCCATGCTTTCATGTTGTTGACACCAAATTCTGACCTGACCATCTTTATCCATCCCCTGGGGGAGCGATGAGCTGCATGCATGGCCACGCTCAGGAAACATTTGGCGTTTCAACCCCCGATCGACAGTTTTAAAGTATTTAGTTTGACCTGACCATGGATTTAGACCCACGATCTCCCAGTATCAGGGTGAAAACTCATACCACTAGGCCACTGAGCTAGAAGACAAGTCATACACAGTAAAGCTTGCTGCACAAGAGAGCAATCTGCTGAGCAAACGTCGAATGACCGTTTGCTCAGCAGATTGCTCGCTGTGTGTGCCTGATTTTCACTGAGTTTTCCAACTCACAAGACGCTGAGATGAATATCTGACCACTATTCTAGAGGCCAATCAAAGCGCGTTCTCTGACCACATGATTCCAAGATGGCAGCCCCCTGTCTGCATGTCAGAAAGTAGGGCTGCACGATATTAGGAAAACCTGCAATATTCGATATCAGTGCTTAATATTACGATATCGATATTACTCACGATAAATGAACAAATACTAAAGTATGCAGTGTTGATGTCGTCTGGCGTGTGACGTCTGCTCTGGGTTCAAAGCAAACAAAAACTAATGCATGAATTCCAATACAACATAACATTTTTATTGCAAACATATGCAGCTGCACCTGCTACTGTATTAGCAGCTGCACCTGCTACTGTATTAGCAGCTGCACCTGCTACTGTATTAGCAGCTGCACCTGCTACTGTATTAGCAGCTGCACCTGCTACTGTATTAGCAGCTGCACCTGCTACTGTATTAGCAGCTGCACCTGCTACTGTATTAGCAGCAAAACAACAAACTGCATGCATGCAGTTTCTCAGTGACTTTAAAACATCACCTCCACCATAAAACTTTTCTGATGCTCCAAATACAGAAAAACATCCCTTACCAGGGTTTTTGAATAAATAAAAACAATCAGAAAATAAGTTTAAATGTTAAATAATAGTTAACATCACTTAAATGCAACAGCAAATTCTCTCATTGCTACTGAGCATTTTCTCCACTTATGTGGTTATGATATAAGCCCAGCTAACAAAAATTTGTTGTAAGAACGTTATGGGAATGTTTATTTTGAATGTTGTAAAAACGTAGAAATGTCCAGTTTTTTTAATGTTACTGGAACGGTGTGTTAACGTTACAAAAACATTGCTGGAATGTTTGCTTAAAGTTGTTTGAATGTTATTTTACGGTTAGCATGACGTTAACAGAACGTTATGGGAATGTTTACTTTGAATGTTTTAAAAACGTAGAAATGTCCAGTTTTTTTAACGTTACTGGAATGGTGTGTTAACGTTACAAAAACATTGCTGGAATGTTTGCTTAAAGTTGTTTGAATGTTATTTTACGGTTAGCATGACGTTAACAGAACGTTATGGGAATGTTTACTTTGAATGTTTTAAAAACATAGAAATGTCCAGTTTTTTTAACGTTACTGGAATGGTGTGTTAACGTTACAAAAACATTGCTGGAATGTTTGCTTAAAGTTGTTTGAACGTTATTTTACGGTTAGCATGATGTTAACAGAACGTTATGGGAATGTTTACTTTGAATGTTGTAAAAACGTAGAAATGTCCAGTTTTTTTAATGTTACTGGAATGGTGTGTTAACGTTACAAAAACATTGCTGGAATGTTTGCTTAAAGTTGTTTGGATGTTATTTTACGGTTAGCATGATGTTAACAGAACGTTATGGGAATGTTTACTTTGAATGTTGTAAAAACGTAGAAATGTCCAGTTTTTTTAATGTTACTGGAATGGTGTGTTAACGTTACAAAAACATTGCTGGAATGTTTGCTTAAAGTTGTTTGGATGTTATTTTACGGTTAGCATGATGTTAACAGAACGTTATGGGAATGTTTACTTTGAATGTTGTAAAAACGTAGAAATGTCCAGTTTTTTTAACGTTACTGGAATGGTGTGTTAACGATACAAAAACATTGCTGGAATGTTTGCTTAAAGGTGTTTGAACGTTATTTTACGGTTAGCGTGATGTTAACAGAACATTAGCATAACATTACTGGAACGGTTACTGAAACGTTATTTGATTATTAGCATAACGTTCCCGGAATATTTTCATAACATGGCTGCAATACTGCTACAATGTTACCGGAACATTTTGTTAATGTTTGGAAAAACATTGTTGCAACATTAGCAAAACATTGCTAAAACATTAGCCTGACATTACCAGAACGTTATCTAAAGGCTAGAAAAATGTTTCTGCAACGTTATGTTAAGGTTAGCAAAACATTGCTGGAATATCAGCATAATGTTTCTGGAACGTTATCTTAAGGTTAGCATAACATTGCTGGAACATTGGCATGTTTCTGGAATGTTAGGGTTAGGGTTAGCAAAACATTGCTGGAACATCAGCATAATGTATCTGGAACGTTATCTTAAGGTTAGCAAAACATTGCTGGAACATCAGCATAATGTTTCTGGAACGTTATCTTAAGGTTAGCAAAACATTGCTGGAACACCGGCATAATGTATCTGGAACGTTATCTTAAGGTTAGCAAAACATTGCTGGAACATCGGCATAATGTATCTGGAACGTTATCTTAAGGTTAGCAAAACATTGCTGGAACATCGGCATAATGTATCTGGAACATTATCTTAAGGTTAGCAAAACAACGCTGGAACATCAGTATTGTCACGATCTGGGGATGTTTAGGACCCAAATATGTTGAAACCCAGGATGACACGAGGCTGGGGAAGATGTAAAGTGAAATCCTTTATTTTAGGAGTAACCAAAAAACAAAAGTAATCCAAAAGGCTGGGAGCCAACAGTCCAAAAATCCAGATAGAGATCTGGAGATCCAAAAATACAAGAGGCACGAGAAGACTAGATCCAAGCACTAGAGGCACGAGAAGAACTTGACAGAATTACAACAAACAACAATGGACCGACAAGACACAGAGACAAGACAGGGCTTAAATACACTGGGGCATAATGGGAGGCAGATGAGCTGCAGGTGTGTGGAGTGTGGGGGGAGGACCAGGTGATAGCAATGACTAATCAGGGAAGAAACTAACATGACCTAAGAGTGAACCTAAAAACACAAAAGCAACCATATAACTAAAATTCTAAAGGGGAGAACTACAAAAACCGGTGGGACAAAACATATTAAAGAGACTAATAAAAATGAAAAGCTGAAACTATAAACACTGCAGAGGGATGACTGGCTGCAGAGGGGTGACTGGAGAAGACTAAAGGAACACAGGAGACACATAAATGAGATGCAGACAAAGGACATATGAGGGCGATATGAAACACAAAAGGAGAACCTGGAGTGGGAATTGGAGGGGCTGGGGAACAAAGGGACACAGAACATGACAAGTATAATGTATCTGGAACGTTATCTTAAGGTTAGCAAAACAACGCTTGAACATCAGCATAATGATTCTGGAACGTTATCTTAAGGTTAGCAAAACAATAATGGAACAGAAGATTAATGTTTCTGAAACGTTATCTTAAGGTTAATATTACTTTGCAGTAACATTAGTATAACATTCCAAAAACTTTAGTTTCTGAAACCCTTACGAAAAAGAAGTATACTTTAAGTATCTAATTTCAAGTATACTTAAGTGTACATAAGTTTATTTGCATACTTGTTCTTAAAGTTTACTTAGAATTATACTCCTTGGGTCTAAATTGGGCCACTAAAAGTATACTTGAAGTATACTACAAGTATACTTCAAAGTAATAATTTAAGTTTATTTGTAGTGTACTTCTGATATAATTGAGTACACTTTTCTCTTTGAAAGTATACTTAAAGTAACATCACAAGTGTACTTGGAGTGTACTTCTGATATAATTAAGTATACTTTTGTCCTTGAAAGTATACTTAAAGTAACAATATAAGTTTACTTTTCAAACAATTGAGTATACTTTTCTTCTTGAATGTATACTTAAAATATACTTT